CAGGGAACTGCTGGAGAGGGTCCGGCAGAGGCTGCGGAGATGCTCAGGGACCGGAGCACCTCTCTGCTGAGGAACGGCTGAGAGCCCCGGGGCTGTTCAGCCGGAGAGGAGAAGGCTGAGAGGGCATCTCATCAACGCTGATCGATATCTACAGGGCGGGCGGCAAGAGGACATGGCCCGGATCTTTCCAGTGCTGCCCAGCGACAGAACAAGGGGCGACGGGCACAAACTGGAACACGGGAAATTCCACCTGGACACGAGGAAAAACTTGACTGTGAGCACTGGCGGAGGCTGCCCCAGAGGGGCTGCGGAGTCTCCTTCTCTGGAGAGATCCAAACCCGCCTGGACGAGTTTCTGTGCGACCCGCTCTGGGCGACGAGATGAGCTCCAGAGGTCCCCTCCAACCCCCACCATTTTGGGGTTCCCTGGCTCTCAAAAGGAGCTTCTCTCCCTCCCCGCCCCGGATAAAGCCTCTGATCTCCGAGTCGAGCCCGTCCTCCCCACGCCTGGGCTGCAGGAGGGAACTGCGTGCGGTTATTTAATAACATCCTTTAATTTTGGGGCAGCCCCGGAAGGGTCAGGGGGTTGGGCAGGGTGATGGCTGCAGCTCCCTTCCAACCAAACTCTTCTGTTCTAAACCGATCCGGCTCCAAATTAAGCCCCAAGCAAAAGGAAACATCACTTTTATAAAGAAAGGAGCTCGTGCCGCCCTGGCAGAGCCGACCACCGCACGCTTCACCCACGAAATAACCTTGGCCGGCGGCTCAGCGTTCCCGCTAACTCCCTTGCTAAAAAAAAAAAAACCAACCCTAAAGCTTAAAACAACCTCGGGACGCGCCACGGGTTACCCGCTCATCGCCGACACCACATCAGCGGCTCCATCCAAGCCATAGGGAGGGAATAAGCCCCTGCGGGATTTTATTGGGAGAGTCTCCGGCATTTTCCTGCCCCCTCGTTAAAACCCCCGTGCTCCAAAACAAGCGGTTTGCCCACGGGACACCGGGAAACGCTCGGCTCCAGCTCGGGCGAGGAATTTTTGGGAGCTGATGCTGCGGTGGGAAGACCGCCGAGCATCGCTCCTCGTGCTCCTGATCCTTTCGGGTCACCACAACATCAGCGGCTTCTGCTTTTGAACCAAGCCCAGGGCACATCCCTCGTCCCCGGTGCCTGGGATGCCCCGTCACCCCCTCCCCCGGCGAGCCCAGCACCCACCCGCTTGTGCCATATCCTCTCCGCTTTTGTGTTCCCTCCGCTCCAACCGCCGTTCTCATGGCAACGGAACAACCGGCTTCGAAAAAAAGCATGTCAGCCGAGGGCACCCCTACGGCACCCCAGGCTACGGAGGCCCCGGAAGGGATCGGAGGGTCTTGGGATGCGATTTTGGGGCGAAGGGGCAGCGGGAGGCACTGCCCGCACCCGGGGGAAGCTCCGGGCTGGGCTCCCATCCCCTCCAGCCTCTTTAAAGCCAAAAAAGGAAACACCAGTACCCTTTTTCTCCCCAAAAAGGAAACGCCGGTGCCCTGTTTCTCCCCCAAAAAGGATGCGCCGGTGCCAAAGCCGCAGAGGCACCAGGGCGGCGGTGAAGCTCCCAAAGCAGGGTGCGATTTCCCAGCCCGGTTTGGGTTTAAATATGGCTTTTTTTGGGTATTTCTTTGTAGGTAAATTGCTTAATCCTGTTGCTAAAGGGGCAGAATAAAGAGCAGCTGTTGAAGCAACCTAAGAGTCAGCCCAATTCAGGAGCTGATTTAAGGACATCGATCCCACACGCGATCCCAGGGGATAAGCAGAGGCGGAAAACACCCACTCGAGCATCGCTGCCACCATGTCGCTGACCCCCCCAATTTGTTTTCCCACCTCCATCGCCCCAAAACGGCCCCATTTCCACGCCTGGGTGGCCCCCAGCCGGGCTCCTGCGGGGGCTGCTCATCCCGGGGCTCGGCCAAGTTCATCAGCCTCGTTAATTAACGAGGAGAGTCTCTGCCGTTTCTCTCGTTCCCTCCAAAGCAAATTTTCAAAATATCACCTAAAAATCCTCTCCCTGGGGTGCTCACGGCGAGGAAAATCAGCGACGGCGTCCGGGCGGACACCCCCACCTGCAGCATCAAACTCCAGCCAGGGCTGGAGCCGGGATCCTTCCCTGGATGGATCCGTTGGGAAGACGTTGGACTCGATGATCTTAAAGGTCTCTTTCAACCTAAACGATTCTACGGTTCCTATTAATTATGTTTCTTATAAAGGACCAACTCGCTGCGCCGGGGGAAAAGAAGCCGGGGAGGTAGGCACCCACCCCGGGGGCTGCCCCCAGGGAGGGCTGGGGACGAGGATGAGGAGCCGGGAGCGGGAAGGGGCAGCCGGAAAAATGAAGTTTTCATCTCATTTCTCCATGGTAAAAGCTCCTCTGCCTGTGCGGGCAGCCTCTTCCTCCTCCTCCTCCTCTTCCTCCTCCTCCATCAGCGCAGCAGCAACTGCCACCAT